CCAGGACCCAGGATAGTGCTAGAAGCTGCTGGTTTCCACTGGGCTAGGCAAGGCATCCTTCTATTGGGTGGTGCGTCAGTTTGCCAGGGTTGGTTGCCTCCTCAGGTGTAAAATACCAGGCTAGGAGAGATGATAAACGTCCTAGGAACCTGCTCAAATCCTGCCACATACCCTGCCACCCAGGGACAGGCTGTTGTAGGGCACATTTCAGTATGGCCTCACTCAAAATCTGTTTGCTCTTACACCAGGACGAGACCACATTCCACAAAACCCATAATACGCTGACAGTATTAATCAGGAGTATTAAACAGCTCACGCAGTAGTTAGCAAGAACTTTGGGAGCCTGCATAAGAAAATCATCCCTGTAAATCCCGAGCAGGGAGAGAGAGATGTTTTCCCTCATGCTCTCCACAAGATGGCTTCTGCAGTACAGCAAGGCTGTCAACACCAGGACAAAGCACATAGCCATTGTTTGTATAAACCTGCTCCCAGGTTCCTTCCTCTGCCCCACAAAATAGCTCCCCAGCAAGGAAAAGCTGTCAATGCCAGGGCAAAGCACAAAGCATTATTTGGATTAACACGTTCCCCAGCTCAGCAAAAGTGAAGAGATACAGCAGTGCAGCCAACCAATTCCGCGACACGCACATGAGCTTGTGACTTCATCATTGCTAGAGCTAGTCTCGTGTCCCTGTTTGGCTACAAAGAAAACTCTTGTGGTTTAGCCTCAGTAGGCAACGAATAACCACGCAGTTGCTCTCTCACTCCTCCCCTCTCCCCAGAGGGATGGGGAGCAGAATCAGAAGGAAAAGTCAAAAGTCCTTGGTTGTGCTAAAAGCAGTTGAACAGAATGGCAATGGGGAATAACATAGCAGTGATAACACTGATAGAAACAATCTACAGCTTGCAAAGTTCTCACCTACCAGTGCTAATCCTGCTCCTGAGTAACAAATGCCTTTTCTTCAGCCAGCTCCCTGCTTCAATACTGAGCATGACATCCCATGGTACAGAATATTCCATCTGGTTGGCTGGTTTGTGTCAGCCCAACCAGCTTCTTGTGAGAATTAACCCTTTCCTAGCTGAATGCAGGACAGCGATTCTGTGCCATGCTGTGCCGTGCTGGCCATCCTGTGCCATCTGAGGCATCCCAGCGCAGCCGGGTGCGCCCTGCCCATGCTGGGAGTGGGGTGCCCTCCGCCTGCTCCTACATCCCCCCTGTGGCACCTGGATAAACCCTGGCTGTGGACACAGATCAGCCACATGCACTCCTCCTGTGATGGGATGTGGCGGGGGCAGGTCTTTCTGTCTGGGGCCGGTGTCAGGGGTGCCTGTCTGTCTGTCTGGGAGAGGTGGTGGGAGTGCCCTTCTGCCTGCTAAAGGGACACGGCCGGTGTAGTGCCCATCTATCTGTCCAGGCGATGTGGAAGCCGCCCATCTGGGCTATGTGGCAGGGAACTCCACCTGTCTGCGCAGGGCATGCGTCGGGGTGTGTCTGTCTGTCTGTCTGTGTATCTGCCAGGGATCAGATGTCTCCAGTTGTTCTGTCTGGAGGCACAGGCTCTGAGTCCCCTCTGCCCCACTTGAACCCCACCAGACTCCGCCATCGCCTTTGTGGGCCAGTGCTTCATGGACGCTGGAGACCTTGTGGCTCCTGCGGGAAGAGGTCCCATCCCGCAGGGACTCCTGGAAAGCCACCAGGTGAGCCCTGAGCCTGTCCTCCCAGCCCGCAGCTCTCCCTCACCTCCGTCTGACATGGCTTCCCCGCAGGGCTGGCACATCCCTCT